AATTCAAAATTAAAATTATAGGGTTAGGGTTAGGGCATACAAACTCAAAATTTAATGGCTAGGGTTAGGGTTGACAAATTCAAAATTAAAATTTTAGGGTTAGGGTTAGGGTTATGGTTTACAATCTCAAAATTGAATGGATAGGGTAAGGGTTGACAACTCAAAATTAAAATTATAGGGTTAGGGTTAGGATATACAAACTGAAAACTTAATGGCTAAGGTTAGGGTGGACAATTTCAAAATAGACTAGGGTTAGGATTTACAAACTGAAAATTTAAATCATAAATAATTTCGAGGATATAGATAAGCATAGCTTTTTCAATCTACAGGAGGGCATTCTAAGAAGATATACAGGCAGGATATACGGTGGAAGTCCGACTAGCTGCAGAGAAACATTTTTGTCATTTAGTATAAATGCCAATCAATCAGTGCCTTCATAGATAAGACTCTCTCATGAATTTGACATAGATATGGGTGTACAGAGGGTTAAGTAATTGTCATTGGTGTCATTCCCAGAAATAAATAGTGAAAAGGGGGAGTTCATGAGGAACGTTAACGTTCTCATTTTTAGGCCTAAAGCTACACAAGCCCTTTGTTTCATGGAGATTCTAGAAAAGTATTCCATTTCAGCGTCTCGATCCTGTTATGGGTCCTGCATGCGAACACACTTATAATGCTCACACTGCACCATGATTTCCTCAAGTTAACACCCTTAAAATCCATGCACAACAACGGTTTAATTGGTAAACCCTCCCCCTCCTACAGTAAGTTTGTTTTCCTAAAATGTATGTGTAAAGGTCTCACCTGCAGACTGTAGTCGTTAAAAGGAAATCTATTCCTTCATGACCCTTTTTCAACACCGTTATAAAAAAATATGAGTGATTTGCCCCATTCAAATATTGTCCATTGCTTTTGGGTACGCGTATAGTAAAAAAAATCTTCACGTTCGATCAAAACTTACTGCGCATGGATATGCAGCACCCACAACCGGACCGGTCGATCGTCGACACAGAAACTCGTGCGACAAAGTTGGCACGGCACGGTCAAAAAAAAATTCCAGATAAACAAAATATCTATCCGAAGACGATTTTCATCTTGAAAATAACCTTTTCTGATACAAATGAAAGTCCCATTCTAAGAAACATATATGGGTTCAAACACTTGGTGTCAAAGTTGAAATTAGCAGCTCGTGGTTTAGAAGACTCATCGTGGTGGATCTTCACGCAGCTAAGAAACAACGGATATGCACGCCATCGCCGAAAAATAGCGTATATATGAGAAGAGAAATATGAAAGGGCTGCATAGCACCGTGATCAGAATATAGACAAAAATAAAAACAGTCATTGGTCTTTTCTGAATGAACACACTAGAAAAGTCCAAGTATATTCCATTTGGATGCGACGTTTAATTTTAAAGTTCGAAGATGCTGCTGGAGTGCTTTACGGGTGCATTCCACCAAATGGTTGTATTCTGCGCGCGAGCTCATTAATATTTGTGATCCCATGGAATTCTTACAATATAATTAGAATAAATAAATAATTTAGGGCTGAGAGTTTACAGTTCGGGCTATATTTCTTTCACAAAAAGCCCCAAATTGTGGACCTATTTCGGATAGAGGCGGGCGGCTACATTCAGAAATATGAGCGCTTAGTTTTACTGCTATTGCGGCATCTTCGTTCAAAGGCGAATAAAAAAGATTTCGTGGCTAACCCTCGTGAAATTGAAACGAAAAGTGATCTTCTGGCCATAATCTCGAATTTCCAGTGAAAAACCGGAGGCCAACCTCTTCACGAGAGTCAACTGGCGACGCTATTTCGGTCCGATTTTGCACTGTTTTCTATCGGCGCGTATTTGGTGTAGTGCAACCTTTTACGCTGTACATCGGATGAGTTTCCACAGGATGCAGACGCGTACGATGAGTTCGGGCGGCTTGTTCTCGCTCGTGTTTATTCATGAACAGCTCGATCGATTCGTTGTTTGTGGGTCGGCCGCTCGAACGCTGGGAACGTACAACCGGTTATTATCGGTAATAGTTATTTGTGGCAAGCAACATGCAACAAGCTTAAGGCAGCGTCCTCAATACATTCTCTGGGAGTTAATGTCGGATAACTGGGCTAACTTCTTTTCCATAAAAAAAATATATTTCTGCCATGGAAAATTATTAATGTTAATTTTGCAAACTTTCCATCGTCTTCGGCTTTGTATTAAAGTCATATCGGTGTTTTTGCGGCTGTTCACAAATCAAATCTCGCGAGTTTTTCCGTGTGTTCGTGTAAAATCTTGACGAAGAGGTGGCGTGTGATCGATCCTGTTCCGAGAACAGTGTTCTTGGGTCGTGTTCCCGCTGTTCGAGCGCGAGAAAAGAAACCCGTGAAAGACCAGCCGCCCGAACTAGTAGTCGACCCATGAAGAGAAACAGTAGAGGGCGCCAATTCGTAAGAAATCAGAACGTGCTGTGTGCATGTGGTACTGGCCGTTTGCACGTACATGTACATACTGTGGGCCATGGGTAGTTCACAACAGACCTGACAGAGATAGAAATCGGCGACACAAAATACCAGTGACTCAGGTCATTCTACCTCCATGCTCAGGTTATGTGGATCATGATATAGTACCAGGTAGGTCTATCCATGTTTGGACCGTAGTTTATACTTTGTTGAGACGTAATTCGAGATTCACTCATTCGCAGGTTTTCATAATCATAGCCTAGGCCGTATGTGCAGAACTCGAATGAATGGACTGCGTGTCGAGTTGTACTGAATACATGTAGCTCTTTGGTTTACAGGTAGCATAGTAGTAGTAGTCATGACTCATGTTGGGGTAACGTCTTTGACCGGATCGTTGTCAGGTATAATTTCGCCACCTGAAGGGTACCGGTACATGTGGTAATGCATACAAAGGAGAATAATCAGTTCCTTGCAATCCATCATGATAGCCTGTCATGCCTGCCCAGACAGTCTATAATTTCTTGGCGATAGCTCTATGACATAATATTAATTAAATACTCCCAGACAGTAGAGGTGCAGATCACAACTCATGGACTGTCCCTGAATGTGGAGAAGTCCCTTTATTTGGGGACAAAATCAGTCCTTAAAAACAGAGAATGTCCCCTAAGTTAAGTGGGGACAATTTTTTTTCAAGCGGGCTTGGAGATCCTACCATTGCCCTGGGGATTCTTTTATTGCCGTAATTAGATTCAGCAGGAAAAAACACCCAAGGCTGCTGTGTAAAAAACACCTACCATTTACTTCTAGGATTATGAGCAAGAGTATGCAACTTAGTGTAAAGGGTGGGAAAAAGACTGCATCAGATTAATTTTTCAAATATCAATCCTTTACATAGGGCCTATACTTAATTGAATGGCATGGTGCGAAGTTTATGAAAACAATTGGAATATCTAATAAAATGAATGGAAAATGTGGGAGAAAAAATGATAATAGTGCACAGATATTTTTAACCCAAGGCCACTTGGGAAAAAAAGTCCCCTTTTATGGGGACACTCTCTTTTGGGGAACTGGTGTTGTCCCCAAATAAAGGAAACTTCCAAATCCAGGGACAGTCCCTGAGTTGTGATCTGTGCCTCTACCGTCAGAACAGTGGGGTCTGCCCCACTCCCACAAGCAGGGTAGATGTCGGACCCCACAGTTCTGGAGGTAATGCTTGAATGGAATATGGTGTGCACTTGCAATATTTTGTTTGGCCTGCTATCACCAGGCAGTGATTCTTCCCAGATTGTAGTCCTTTCCAGAATTCACACCTGACAGCAACCAATCTGAACAGAACACTAAAAAATACAGCTTTCAAATCCTGGCAGTGTGTCACTGAACACGGCAACGCCAACGGATTTAAAAATCCATCAACAAAACTGACATTCCTGCTTATGGCATGCCGTAGGCCGACTGATTTTATAAATCTGGTTATCCATAATTACATGTACGCTGCAACACATCTTCATCCAGCTGTCACAAGCATGGCAGAAGCAGCCGTATAGAAAAGAACAGGTCAAAGCTAATCTAAAACTTACAATCTTATCCTAGAATTACAATGTCGGCACACCACTCAAAGATTCTTTTGGGCCGAGTAATCGGAACCGGAATGATGAAAACTGCCAAGGTTCGGGTGGAGCGGCTTGTGTTGGACAAATACGTCATGCAGGTAATTACGTGAACACGTAAGACCAAATGATCACACTGTTCATGGAGGAAGGCACATAAAGTCCTTCATAGTGATGCTTTTGAAGTTGTATTGTAAAAAAGCATTGAAACTGGGATGATTTTAATTCAAAATTATAGAAAAACTGAACTCACCATGCACACTCTCTTATTGGCCTATAAGTACATACAGGCCTACTTGGATAGCTTGTTTCACTGGGAGGGCATGAGTATGTTTTGTTAGATGTTCTAAAAGAAGCAAATTGACAGATAAAGAATTTATAACTCATTTGCTCTTTTGGACTTGCTCCTTTTGTAGTATTACCCCAAGCGGACCACTGTCTTCGCCCATGACGCACAAGAGGAGGCCAAAGAGGGTGACATTGTCCTGGTGAAGCAGCTGACTCTGCCACGCTCCAAGCACGTCAAATACCTCATGGATCGCATCATCTACAGCCAGGGCAATGTGACGGATCCCATCACGAGGAGGAAGTGTGACGGGTCATCGTACTGGGAGGAGGCGGCACCACCGTATGAACTGGACGGGGATGGACTCCCCAGAGATGAAGTCGTAGAACCCAGCTCAAGCACTGATACAGAGACGGAGAGGCATTCAGAGGGAACAGCTGTTTGAGATTTCAGCAGAGGGACCGAAAGTATTTTTTATTATAGAGTGGATATTGATACGTCAATCTACAGCATGGATCCAGTGGTGTAAAATCAAGCTTTCAGGATCAAGAAAAAGGGAACTTTCTGACAAGGTAGCCCCAACATTTGAAGAGGAAGACTTGGTCCGTACAACTTGGAGAGTGTTTATTGTTCATACATGTACACTGATTGTGAAGTGCCCACAGTGTCACAGCCCTTTTATCACCAAGACTGTCTGCCCAAGTTTATGTACATATATGATTTACTTTCTAGTTTCTCGGTGAATCATTTATTCATTAATATCACTGAAGAATTGAGCAATTCCACTACAGGTTATTGTTTCTGGGAGTTTTTGCAAGTTCTGACAAGCTGTTCAAAACTTCAATTCCGATCTGTCAACACCACAACAAACTCTTGTACATCATTTTACTCACTGGTTTAGTATTGTACAAAATCTTTAATTTCCTGATCTCAGAATGCTTAAATTCATCAATGATTCAGTTATATTACACTTATATGTAATTAAAAAAATAATCAGTAATTGAACAATTACTATTACACAAGGTTGAATGACTTTGAACAAATTGTAACATTTCTGTTACATGTACATGTATTGACAGTCCAACTGGCAAACTAAACTATATGTACATTTAATTTCTGCACTTGACATAATTCCCAACATGTATAACCGGCAAATGAATTTGGAGGGGAGAATAGACTTTTCAATTGTAACTCCTTGCAATTTATTCACCATCACACATATTGACAGTGAGGCATGCCACATACTATCGGAAACCTTTTTTGCACATTGTAAACATTTCCAGGGTAAGCTTTTGTGACTGAACTCTTCAGTTTCTGGAATTCAGGGCCATTTTCCAAACCCTGGGTCTGTTCCTGGTTTGGCCTGATCATGCTCTCAGGATTTAGGTCATGTCCAAATTGACTTGGCTGTGGTTTGAAATCCTTGGGGTTTGGATGCAGCTGCTGTCGCACACTGATGTGTGATTTTAAGACAAAGCCAAGTACATGAACATGTTGTTCAGTCTCATTGACTGTTGGAGACAAATGAATAGAGACTATAATCCGATTTCACACCATAACTGTGGTGGCACTGCACTCACACACACATTCTTCAGCCTGTATTTGGCAACGTACGACACCCGATTGGTTAAAGAGGCATGTATTACGCACATGTACCACCTGTCCAGGAGAGTTGTGCCCCTGCTGTAATGGCTTCTAATTGTGGTGGTTGAATAGACCGATTGCACTCGCAAAGTCATGTGACCTATACGTGTAGTGGGTATTAAATACCAACAAACATGGCGTCCACCAAAAGGAAAGTGTTTCATCATTTATCAGTATCATTTACCAAAAATAAAGCCGATGATAGGTACCATACTCAGACTACTGATGTAATGGGTACTATACCGTCACTTTGCTGTATTGTTTGTGAACAACTCAAAACACGTTGCTATAGGGTTGATACGCAATATAGGTATGTGATGTAGTGGGCGCAGTCGGTCTTTTACAGTGGCCTCTTGTAAGCTCGTTGGGTGGTTCTGTGGCACAAAGAAGTTTCTCTGTGTCAGAGAGTAACGCTAGCGGGATAAAATTCACAGAGCAACGTGTAAATCTGCTTTGGAACATACTGCGGTTCAGAGAAAATGCTAGATCACATATCTGCCAAACTGAAACCAAATTTGAACCCCATCCAGTGCAGAACAAATGCTCTGTTCCCCCCTCCAGACAGAAAAAGATTTGCACAATGGACAAGAATCATTTCCATCACAATACACGGATTCATTCAAAATAATCACAGTAGGATTCACAAACGTAACTTCCAAAAGAATGTGCTTGGGTGATGCATACAGAAGTCGTACAGTGTGTTGCATTGTTACATTATGACTACATGTTCATGCATGATGTACACAACCTCATTTTACAAAGAGTTGCACAGGGTCTTTGAAACTGAAAAAAAAAAGACAACAGTCATGCATTGGCCAGATGGACTTCACAAGCCTATTTCTTGGTGTATAACACAGCAGCATACAGAAACCTGTTCCCATAACATACAGTGAGAAAGATATCCAATACAAAAATACTTCTCAAAAGAAAAAATATCTGGATATAACTCACTCTGTTTTTCATATTCAAAAATAAAAATTTACGCCAGGAAAAAGTGAAAACACTTTGAAATGTGTTTTTGTTAAAAAAATGTAAAATAACATTTTAAACTATGAAATTTACGCATAATTTACAAAGTACTCAGTACTTCATTTCCAATACCGATCCTAATCATGAAAGTGATATTAAAAAACTGTCATGGTGTTATTCAAATACCACTTCACTGTCAAAGTTGTGTTAACAAAAACAAGGTCTACATGTAAGTACCAGCACCTAACATTGTAAAGGGTAAATTTAGACATGAGAACATCGAAGCCATAATCAGCTTTCGACTGTTGGTAGGTCAAGACTACAGGAGCTGTGGTGCTGTGTCAAGTTCTTTGGCATACATGTACCTACATGTAGAAGAGAATAATTGTTCGCATGTGGTCTGCCAGGTTTCAGCTGATGAATTTGTCAATAAAAGAGGCAGACTTGGCTAAGTCCTGGTTACTTGTGAAGAATTCTGTGAATGGTTTTGTGTCTGGTCTCCACTGCAACAGTGGGTACGGGGCTACAAAGAAAGAGAAGGTACTTGGGAACACTGCAAGTAAAAGTTAATATTCCTTGAAACAGGACAGGTATTAAAACACAAGCAGGCAGGGAATTCCAAAGAGATGCAGTAAGCAGGAGCAAAAGCTACGTGTATTTGGATCTACACCTTCGCTCTGCATCTATGCATTGCAACAATGTACCACTGACAAGGAGCAGTCATGTTTCTCTATCAAACACCCTGGCGAAATCACGTTCATTAAACAATGTCTGATGGGGAAATGTGCTTGATACAATTGTGATGCATTATCATCAAGAAAAAAGGCAACGAAAGCCTTTTTTCTTTCTTTTTCTCAGAAGACATCACACAACCAGATTCTTCCATTTCCAAAAACACATTTTCTTGTATGCATCAGATGCCCTACTACAGACTTACAAATAACTGCAACTAAGAAACCAAATGTTGACACTACACAAAAGGCACATCCTGCAATCAACCCTACGGTACTTCATGGATACATTGGAACCAGCTTTTATGTATACAAGTCACAGTTAACTTCCCTACAAAAATAGAAAATAATTTCAATTGATTCCTTCAAGGCCAATTTGATGTTTCATCCTGTTAAAAGTAATTTCCTGGTATGCTTGGCCATACATGTATTTGATTGCAATGGGCATCCCGCCTGGATGAACCAAAACTTCGTTTCTGGTGGCACAACTTCAATGATGAAACTTATAACAGCTGAAACAAGATCCTTGTAATCTGATTTTCAAGGCAGCTGGGCCCTTCTGCACCAAATGGTAAATGGTCTGATAGAACAAATGTCTGATCTAGTGTGTGATGGTAGAACATCAACTTCAGGTATGTCATGTAATTATTAGAGGAATTTATAGGACACACAAGAACAATTGCTGATGCACCTGTACCCAACTTGGTAACCTCTTGCTGTGCTTTTATGCTTTGCTAAGATAGAAAACTAAAAGGTTTCAAGCTTCAGAAAAAAAACCAATTGTAGAAAGGAAACAAAAATGCAGCTACTGTTAAAAGCATATTGTGAAAATGTTGAGACTGAAGTTTTGTGGAGAAAGAAGAGAACTTGTTCAGTTGCTGATATGAACTAAGAGCAATAAAAATGGTTGAATTGGTAAATGGGACCAGAGGCAAGTTTTTGGCTTTAGTGGGCCTATTTGTTCAGCTGCCTTCCAAGTTTCTGTGACACCTTGAAATACATTTACATGTAACGGTGTACATTTGTGAAAACCAAAAAATTAGATTCTGTAATATTGTATCAGTACATTTTACTTCCAAATACTTGATTCCAAAAAATAAATATCTGAATGCTTAATATTCGATCAATATCTGACAGAGCCCAACACAAAGGATTTACTTTGGTGTTGTGTAAAACAAATCGTAAATGTTTCACATTCGTGCAATGGAAAGAATCATATCATAACTTAACAGATGAAATGTTTCATTCCAATTGACATCATCTTGTAGTGCATTCTATCTGTCGACTTAAAAATTGTTTCATCCACTGCAGTCTCAACAACTAATCATTTGTATAACATTCAACCTTTTCTTTTTTTAATATATATAAAGGCGCTTTTTATACCTACATGTACATGTGCACAGGATAATTTTTTTCTCATTTAATGTTTTATCTGAAATCTGAAAACCTATTCCGGTTCTAACATCCCCTCATTCCACGTTACCATACCTACATGTAATTACATGTATTACAAAATAAATTCTAGAACAGTGAATAGTATTATACATGAACAAGCACTTTACGTATATACACCTGTACATCATTATGAAACATACAGTCTATACAAAAGGACAAACTTGTTACAAGTAACATTCTACCGGGATTCTTGTATCTGACTATTTTGTGATTTCTCTTTCCCAGCCATTTTCCCACTCTGCTTTTTTTTCTTTTGTCAATCACAAATCCTCAAAAGGTACATCGCAGGTCTTCGAAACTCCAGTCCAAACTGAGTCACTATTAGCATTTGCACGTAACTATATGTATGACAAGGGCATATTCATATGTCATTGTTCATTCTACGTTTCCTTTGACTAGACTGGTGATGGACTCCTCAACTTCATGTATGTACATGTACAGTGCGTGTACGATCTCTTCACATCTCATCTACCTTAAATCATTGGTTGGGTGTTAGTCTTGGTCCAAGACTGGAATTGGATAGTACTCCCCTACCGGAAAATTCTGAGTGTATCTTTTGCACACACACGAATTAGTAAAATAGCACATGGAGTGCCCATCCCCACTGTGCCATGCAATTACCCAATTGTCCCCGTGTGAGGTATAGTATGCCTGCTGACTTTGCCGAGACTGGATTTGGTCGTTCTTGATAAAGCCCTTTGTCACCATACAGATTACCCCGGCCAGGCATCGGGAAATAAAGCTCAAATCCAGGCTTGGGCCAAGACTAGTTTGGTATGGCAATGCCAAGTGTCTCCAATGCTTGTAACAACGTATGGGCTTTGTGCTGGTTCAACTCTGCAAGGATTGAAGGGGCACAACTTCAAAATTGTAGCTGATAAATTTAGTTGATAACCAAGAATCAATAATAACTTGAATTTTCTGAAGTTTCCCTTGGTGCTTGGAGGATAGTGAATAAGTAGAAATATTGCAGCATGGCAGTATTTTGCTAAATGATCACTGAGCTCTCAGCTTTTACTGTAAGTCAGCAGGTCATCAATCTCAGCTGCCATCCTGTCTTCATCACTGCTACTTGGCTCTGAGTCACTCAGGCCAGCACTCGAGCTGCTGTCAGTCGAATCCTGCTCAGAGTCACTGTCACTGTCTCGCCGTCTCTTCCTCTTCTTGGTCCATCCTCTGGGGCTCTCAGCGGTGAGGCTTTCATCACTGGAGGAGGAGATAGCCTGGGTGATACTACCAAGACTTTCCTCATTGCTGCGGACATCTTCTGCTGAATCGCTGCTGCTGCTCTCATCGAAGATGTCTTCGACTTCCCTGTCCATGCTTTCCAGCTCCTCAGAGGAGAAGCTGTAGACTGGGTTGTACTCCACTGAAAGACTCAGCTGCCGTGATTTGATCGCTGCCGGGGCTGCGTCCATGCCCTCGCTCCCTCCATCATCTGCCCGCGAGTCAGGAGAGAGTTTCCTCCGTTTCACGTCTCCCTCTCGATCCGGCGGGACTCGGGCCTTTCCCGCCTGCTTCCCCTTGTTTTTTGCCAGTCGGCGAGCTGTTTCACTGTCGCTGGTGCCCGGCGTGCTTGCCCGGCTGCTCGATTTGGAGCTTTGCCGGACATGCCCGGGGCAGAGTTTGAAAAGATGCTCGTCCACCCGCTGCCACCTCTCCCAGCAACACCACAGCCACTCAGGTGTAACAATGTGGATGCTCTTGGCCCGCTGCGCTGTGTGCACCTTGGATGTGCCAGCTTTGGCTGCAACCAGATGAGTGGTCGCGTTGGCTGGGCTTGCTGAACCCTTCACTCCACAGATGATGCCCGGGCTGATTCGCGCTCCGAGTGCCGAGGCCACCTTCCATGCTTTGCTCTGCTCTGGGTTCATGTTCGTTGGGAAGACTCCACTGAAGACAAGGTTTACGCCTGCCAGCACTTTCTGCTTCAGAGCCGGCAAGATGATTTTCAAATCTGGAATGGATGGCTTGTTTTCGCATTCAGGGTTCTTCTGCAGGTGATCATATGCATCATAAAATTCTTTATGGATGCGTTCCAGTATATCTTCCAAGTAAAGAAAATAATCGTCACTATCATCACTTTCCTCTTGAACTTTCTTCTTTTCCTCTACAATCTGTCCTGGATTCTGGTCTCCATTTTCCTGAGTGGTATCTGCATTAGATTGGGGATTTTTTGGATTGCCGTCAACTTCCACTGGCTGGGTTGAATCTTTAGTTTGTTCATGCAGTGTGGGTTTGTCTCCAAAGGGATCTCCTTTATCAACCAACGATGCCACCACTTCATCCTTGATAGTTTGTTTCTCTGCATCTGAAGCATCTTTGGTTTGTACGGCATCTGACTCTTCAATTTCTGACTCCTTGGCTGTTTCCTCCACCTCCTTCTCTGCTTGTTTTCCAGCGACAGTCGCCTTGAAGTCCTTCTTTGGCATGCCAGGAGGGGCATTGATGTCCCCCGTGCCCTGGAAGTATCTGTACGGGGGGACCAGGATCAGATTTGGTGCGTAGTTCCAGACGTCATCTCGATCGTCAATGATGACCACCATGTTGTCCCCACTGGGAAAGATGGACCTGTCAAGGAAGTGTTTAAAAAATAAAGAACGTTTTTGAAAACAATCATTGCTGAGACTCATACACTTATTACTTCACATGAATAGAGCTTTGCAAAGTGTGCCATTACGGAAGACTATGGTCTCATCCCTACCGTCTTTTGGAAAAGAGGAGTGTTGGATGGACACATTACAAAATGGTGAATAAACATGACAGGTGGAATAGAAATTGTAATTTTGTGTGGAATAAAAACTCTAAAGCACCTCGTAATCTGCATGGCCAACCGATTGACCATATTCATCTGTACTGAGTCATTTGCATGCAAGCAATTCATGCGGGCACAGAACTCGTGAACCACACACACATTGTGATCAAGATGTCCAACGTACCTAAAGCTTGTACATGTACAATATAACTGCATCTTCGTGGGCAGTACTATGGATACCAGAGTACATGTACATCATTAGGGCAAATTCACCCCTTGGTATAGGGAATTTACGCATGGTTAAAGAATTCATTCCAGCCATAAAAAATCCTCTACAAATATTTACTTAATCTGGCTCTAAGGGATTCAAAATAATGCGGTTGCAACAGTTGAAAAGAAGAGAAAGCAGTGTCGAAGAGCAAAAAAAAAGTGAATGTACGCCGTCATGGCTGTATTTTGGGAGCACATATAAACAAATTGTAAGGCAATGAATGTGCACTGCGCATAATGCGCACTGGACGCACTGCCATCCATCCTTTTGCCTATTGTTTGCCCATACATTCAAAATCACAGTTATATGCGCACGACTGGCAGTCCATGTCTATGGATGGCACTGCTTGGTAGCAAAGCGCCCTCTCTTGTTCAGGAATGAGTTCATATAAAGGCTGTCAGCTTTTGGCAATTATTCAAGAGGCAGTAACAGTCAAATTTAAATCAGGAGATTATACCTTAGATTGGCGGTCTTCAAGTTGGGATCAAAGCACTCGTCCCTGGAGAGTATCCGGTGAGAGAAGTACTTCTTCTCTGGGTCCAGGTAGGAGGCGATGGTGTGGGCATAGAGCCGTGCCCCCATGGTGAAGATGTGGAGTTCGTAGAGGGTGGCAGCCTTCTCTAGGAAGGCGCGGTAGCCCGGCCGCATCTTGGTGTGGTACCAGGGCAGGTGCTTACCCTGGCCCCACAACTGGAAGTGGCACACTCCCTGAAAATAGGAACCATGTTGGGCATTGATTTTTTTTTTTCTCTTGAGCCATGCCTAAACTAAGTCTCAACATCTACTGCTTTAGCCCTTCATCACTGGCTAACTCTGCAGACTATACCGGCAAAGTACGTATTTTAAACAAATATTGACTGTTTTGATCCTTATAAGGCCTGTCTTCGGGACCATCTCTCATCTAGGGGAGGACCAACATCTATCTATCCCTAGCGTTTCATCTAGGATTCAAATACCTGCCCAACTTCTATCACCCAAAATTCTTGAAACTTGATAGTTCATCACTATGCTGTCAGACTGTCAGACAGCTTCTGTCCCAATCTACCAGCTCTTCCAAGGTTAAAACACTCACCTCCTCAGGCTTATAAAAAATTCATCTTAAAATCGCGGATTCAGTTCAGTTAGGGTTACAGAAAGCTACAAGTAGCCTCCCTCAATGATCCATGAGGTATTCTATTTGAATTTGGAAATAGCCACTGGCCACTGCACGGTTCCTCCTGTTGATTTTTTTTTACCACCTTACTTGAATGAGTCAGTACTAGTGTGTCACTCCTACATGTACATGCATCTATTTCCATAGTGTCCACACTTACAGGCAAGTTTGGGGCTACGTTGTCCATTGTGGTGTGTATGATCGTCTGGTCTAGGTCTACAACCAGTACCAGCTTGCGGTTTTTCAGCAGACGCTGCTCATCCAACTTGGCAAGCTCATATGCCTCCTAAAAAAAAACACAATTAATTTACAAAATCTAGACAGGAAAAGCAGAAAAGACTGTTACAGGCAGAAGGAAATTAACATGTACACAAGACACGGACATTTACATGTACATGTATATTCCTACTATGTGCTGTTTGCTGAGATAGCAGTATAGACAAAGTTGAAAACCAACCAAAGTTGGTTTTAGATTTGTCCTCTATGTAGTTTGAGAGTTTTGAAAACCACTTACTTGTACGTGTATTTGGTTTTGGCTGTGTTTCAATAGGTTTAAGAAGTTCATATTTGAGGGTTATAGTCTTAGGTCATGTTTTAGTAGTCAATATCATCCAAAAAATTATGGGCTTTTAGAGGGCTTTAAATATTTCTGGGACAAATATATTGCAGCAAACACATGACTTTAGTCTGGACTTTGCTGCCCAGGTGCAGAGTGAAATTGTTGCAATTTGTGTGCGGATTTTTTTTTATTAAGAAAAAAGAAAAAATTGCCTAGACTTACTCCCAGAGCACTGAAAACATTAAGGACAATTATTCTAACCCTAACCTTCCCAAATCCTCAAAAATCCTTGAAGTGGTTTAGGAAGATTTAGGCTGTATAGCAAATCGCATGGCTGATTCTGAAGGATGCATGATGTCATGGTCTTGGGCTGGACCTTACGATGTTTCTGCTAAGCCATGCATAAAGTCAGACCTAGGTTATACATGTACAATGCATGCCAACTCGTCCCCACTGCTCCAGGATACCACATGCACTGCCTCAACATAATAACAGGAACTGTAGGTATATGTAGGGCTGAGTCCATTCGAATAATTCCCTATTCGAATATTCGACCTTCAATTCGATCAAGTATCCAAATATTCGGTGGTACTGACCGGCAGATTGTTGGAAAACACACCTTGTACAAAATCAGTTGCAGTAACGCAAACAATTGTATATTATAATCAATATTATAGCTCCTTATGTCTAGGAGTATTTCCAGCCAAGATTTTGCACTATTTAAGACACAAACAATACTTCTTGCCCTGTTGAAAATTTCTATTCCTTTTAAATTTTTTCATGAATAATTTACTCTTTGAATCGTAAGATTTCTGTCGCTTTTCATTTCAATCTGCTTGAAACAAGCCTCCATGGTACAATATTTTTCATTTAAAAATTTCATTTAAAAAATTCTCCCTTCCTTTTCCTGAATTTGTATTTGAATATTCAAATTGGGAAAATAATATTTGAATATTCGATAATCAATCAACTATTCAGATGTCAGGATATTTGGCATAGCCCTAACTGCAGGAGGATTTTGGAGGATTGAGGCAGCAGGCACACCTCCAAGGAACACATTCAAGAAATAACAAGAGGATTAGGTGGATTAACACTGTATTAGGTATTCCATGGAGGCAGTTGAAGAATTGACTTGATTGAGGTTTCATCCTAGACAAAACAACATGTACATGTAGTCACAAGAAATAAGCAATGCATGGCATTCCGGCTAGTATCCCGCTTGTGCTTGGCAATCATATTCTACGCTAAGCAAATTTAAGTGCTCTATGAGATGTAACAGAAACAAAGAAATTCCAACAGTACACACATACATGCACATACCTCTTTGCTGACTTGCAACTCTGGGATGCTGTGAACCATGGCAACAGAGGCTGTGGTTGCTTGGCGACGTTGTCCAGGCAACCCTTGAGCCCTGGCAAGATAGAAGAACAACCACCTTTAGTGCTAAAGCAATTGAATGTTCTTATCATTAACAAAAGGCACAACATAATCCTAAATTATTCAGGTCCCCTGGGCATAAAGGCATTGATGTTGACAATAGTTACACAGAAACTTTCAACTGGTGTTTGAATTCTACAGTAGCAGCACTTTTCTTCAAGGCAGCTCTTCTTGTGAGATTCTGTCGGAATTGAAATATCATGCTCTTTCATTTTTCCAGCTTTTCCTATTTCGGGTCCCTCCAGTCTGTAACCGATCAGTCTGTAATTTAAAAACTGTTTTATGACTAGTTAATTATTGAAATAATATTGAAAAGAAATAGCCAGAGTAAAAGCCCAGATCATTCTCGTCAAAAAAGATTAATATAATATTAACATGACCAATGTTTCATTAAATTGACCGTAAGTATATTGCATAGCTACATGTATATGTACAGCAAAAATTTGTGTCGCAAGGCTTAGGCATGGTACGAAAAAATGCCACTTTTTGTGAAATCGGCTTGAGATTAAAATTTTTGTTTTAAGTATTTGTATATCCCTGACAGCTTCATTCCTGAGTACATGTACATGTAGCTCTAAGAGTTCGCTGACAATGTTGTTGGATGGAGTCAAGTCTGAAATATGCCATACTCTCTGAGATCAGCTCCACATTCAGCACACATATCCTTCATAACTGTGGGATGTGAACAGATGGAAACTTTCATGATGGTAGTCCTGGAAAAAAATTAATAAAATCATGACAATAGCCACTAATTGTTTATGTAATCTCATTTTTAAGTAAAATGCCATTAGGGTTTTTAACTAATAAACATTTTCAGTAATTAGTATTTCATAATTAGTTTGTGCTGGTGTTTGTTTTTTTGACATGTTTTGGGAGATTTGTTTTTTGGAGCTTTTGTTTTGTTCACTGCTTTAGTTGGTTCTGTTTTATGGTGTGTACTTTTAGTTTTGTGTTTTTGTTCTTTTTTTTTTTACAGGTGGACATGACATGATAAAACAATCACTTTAACAAGACAGAAAGTCTACATTTCCAACTGGGGCAACAATGTTTCAGTCTGCCCCCTCCCCGGCACTGGCATCCGGCCCCACTCACATAAAATTAAGAAAAACTTCTAACTATACCCCCTTAGGCTACACATGTTCACAACTACACAGAACTTCAATTGTTGATGCATAGAGGATGACCTCCATGCTTAACATGGTTGATGACATCATGTTTAGATGCCCTTTTTTTCTCCTGAATGCCCTAGAACTCCGCTCGAGTTGGTAGCTATTATTCGGCCTGACATTAACCATGTTAATAACTGCATATCTAGCGCCTGAGCGACATAAGGCATATACATGTATGTCACATACACACATTACATGTATATTGACCATGTTGATATAGGCCTACGTAAATTAGCCCGCGTACATTGATACTGTACATGACGTAACTTCGTAAGCACACTTCGTTTAAAATGTGTAAATCATGATGATGGGAAACATCAAACACGTATAATGAAAAATGACTGACTCCAGTGAATCTGCAGTAAGCATAAACAGGGACTAAAAGTAAAGGATTTCAAAAAAATTTATTAATCAGCAAAGTCACTTTTTCGTACCCTGGATGGACCACGTCTCCCTCGTTGACTAGTAATTCCTCCACAGTTCCGAAGTGCTCAGACTTAAATTTAAGAGTCTCATTGCCATCATGTTCACCTTGCCCGTTGGTATGAAGTGCGTAGATTGCAATTATGGTACCTTTGGATATTGTGGCTTTCGGTTTTACCTTCAATTTTAAGATTTTACAAACACTTTCGCTCGGAAGCGAAAAATCCATTAAATTTTCCGCCATCTTGAATTTCTGCAATCAGACATTTTTTGAAATTCTACAATGCATATTTCAAGTTTGAATAAGATCTTTCATTAAATTAAAAAATAAAAATAGAAGCAACAAAAAAATTATTTCCTATTTGAAAATGTCTATAAAATATAAAACATTACTGGTTTCATTTTTAGTTAATTTATTATTGAGCCTAAAATTATTAAAGCGCTCACTTAAAACATCACAACGGCCGTTTCATGACTCGATAATGAGATAGGGTACCAAGCTATGAGGCTCAGCGCGCTGCTCACGCATTCTCCATGCACGTAATGTCATGAATGTCGGATAGTGTCTGGTAAATCAATCGGGTTCAAATGTGTCTGTTTTCTGGTAAGGGCAGTGGAAATGTCTTATTATCTTACGTGTATTCATTGTGACCTGAGTTAACTGAAGTTGATTGCAGACCATAGTCAGGACAGTCATCAGCAAATGTTCATTACCTTTCGCGTTTCGGGAGGGATAGGCCAATGTGGAACATGTGTAAACGGGATCCTCGTATTGCGTAGGCGTAGGCATGTTACATGTGTTCGGACATGATATACATGTACATGATGTAGGTCCTAGACTCATGAGACTAGTTTAGGATTGCCCTGTTCGACACAATTTTGACTCCTAAACATGCCTAATCATGTATGTCTTAACGTTGAAGAACTAGTACTAGACCCGTAAACAGGGCCCAATGACGTACATGTATGTCGTATACTGGGAGGAGTATTTTTCATGTTCGTTAGGCCCTGTTTACGGGTCTAGAGAGCTACCAGATAGTTATTAGGTTAACTTATTAGCAATCTGGCTGGGGTGCCTTTTAGGGGCATTTTATTGTATTGGCCTGCGAAATAATAAATGAAATGAAATGCCCTACAAAATGAAATCGGGCTATAGAGGCTCTCTTCTGTCTCTTTTCTGTCGCCACCACAGGCGACAGAAAAGAGACAGATTGTAAAAAAGAGCCACTACAGCCCTATTTGTGGGGCTAGTCCTCACGTTACACCATGGTCACCATGGTCATGTACACTGACATGACATGCATGAGGGCATCACTTGACACCCTGTGATTAAGTGTGAACAAACTCAGTAGACTGGTCTGAAAAAAATCATGGCATGCCAAGTGGGGGCTTACAGTACACACACTTGCTTAAGGTATGATCGGAGTAAAAGTACATGTAGGCTTTTTGCCTTTATGATCGACCTGTCAACCCCAGACCTATCCTTTTTTACCCCAAATTCAAGCAACCTTTTGACCAAGTTGAACTTGATGGACTTTGTCTTGGCCACTTGAGCTGCAAGGCAGTTCCACTCATTGATTACTCCTATAGAGAAAATCTTCACATGCTCAGAAGATTTAACAGAGGGGAACAAATTCATGGCAACAACATTACGTAACATTTGGTGTATGGATGCTGTTCATGGTTATTGTTGTAGACAGTTTTTCCCCTCAAGCTTCGTACACTGAACTTGTGCAGGGGCGCTAAAATCAACATGGCGACGGATTAGGAAATTGGCTTATTCAATCCCTTCTTCAGCGCCAGCTTAAACAATTTGTAGCTGTCACCATGGTGACCTCAGATCTGATTAGTGTTTCTTGTGCACAGTTTACCTTCATCGTGTTCATCAATGCCTTCCTGGAGCTACTTTCTAAAAAACCTCTTCAGTATTTCCCCATCTAAATTTGATATTTTACACCATTTTATTACTTTCTGATGGAGAAAAATTAGTGATGTATGCGTATATGAAACTCTTACCATACTCTTATCGTTAATGATCTCAAGATAGGCCCTAAGATAGTTGCCTAACACTTTTCAACAGGATAAGAGTAATTCAGTGTTCAAGATTTGTTAATGGTTAAGTACTTCCAGAACTGTAAAGTTTGTAAAGAACCTTACACTTTTAGAAGTAATGGCTAATGTTGAGCACAATCACTATAAAACATGTCAGTCATCAACACTGTGCTAGCGGCTGGCCGGTAAGAAGTTAGTGGATGTACACATACATACATGTTCATGTAATGGACTGTGAACTGCTACCAACATGATTTGGCTTTTTTGCAGGCTCAAAAGAACACATGCGGTGACTTGTTGGGAAGACTTAGGATTCACTTTAAAAGAATAAAATGATGATTTTGTGATTTTACGGGTTAGGAAAAAAATGTGTCCTCATGTTGTGACTCAGAATGTGGCATGCTAAAGTAATAGGTCGAAGTTACGTGTAATATTATAACGCTTTGCGATATGTGTCTTATACATGTAAATCTCTCTCCACAAAATTCTGAAAATTAGATCTATTGAGCAAGTTTATTCAAATTTCAAAGCCAATGTGATTTCCAAACTACTCGGCCTCATTTTGGCAGTGCCAACTATATTGGGAGTGACTCGGAGGGTAGTTTGGACCATAAATATTTATTTACATGTGTCTTCAACAGATGGCATCGCCAACAGCAACACACACTCCCCCATCCCAGGTGGTGCATTTTGACAGCACCAGTAATGCTTCTCATGGGCGCAGCCACAGCTCAAGTAGTAGGAGGACCACATGGCCAGCTAGGCGACACACGCCATACACAAAGACTCCCAAATCAAGACGGCTGCATGGTATCAACAGAGATGTTACCCATTTCTTAACCCAAATCTCTGAACTTACCAAACTCTTTAGAGAGAGACTTCCTGAGAAAATTAACCCATAGGATTTTTCATATGGAATGTCAGGGAAAATTTGGTAGTCAAAAGAAAATTGAATTGGCCTGAGTAAAGACTATTTGTTTTGTACTGTAAGAACCTTGGGCCAACTGCGCTCCCTCTTTAGTCATTAGAATTATCAAAGTCAAACAGTGTTAATTAAGGCAAAGGTTTGGACTTAACTGTTGGGTTTTTGGGTCTACTGAGCTGTGGGCTTTCAATGCAGGTTTACAGAAGACACCTTTTCAACTGTTTGATGCATGCCTGGAAAAGCAGATTGGTAGATTTCAGTTTATTAAAAAGGAACCTGTCAGTATCCTGGTTGCAAAGCCAGACACAATGCACATGTTACATGTACTTGTACAATGTAGAAGAAGACATACATGTAACAGCTGTTCATTTTGATATTTCTTTCCTGCAGCACTGAAGAAGTGTGTGACCAATTATTTCGTGCACTAATCTGTTTTTGTATTAAATGTGGTACAGTTAAACTATCAGAACTCTCTCTGTTCCATTCATGGAAAGTTGGCGTGAAGTTTTTTTGCTGGTATCTGACTAAACAAACATCTCGGTCATTTTCATTTTCCAGGGAAAAGTAGCCGGCTAGAGAGAACCCCAGTGGTTCCAGCAGGCGACTCCCACGCCCTCAAGCAACTGACCAATAAAACCTGGCATGTCTACCAGGTCACCCCTCTCAACAATTTCCAGCACTCTGTGGCCGCGCTGAGGAAGTATTCCAGGCATCTGTCGGCCACCCTGCAAGCAGTAAGCCATGAGACTAACAAATGGGTTTCTATTGATGACACTGTCCCCCTGATTTAACCACTATCGGCATAATTGCTTCATAATTGCTCACACTTGTAGTGGATGCAGTAGTATTTTCGACTGAACATACAGACCTGTCTATATAATGAGATACCAGAACCGCAGTCCTTGACAAAGTTGGACTAAATGAATGCATACCCTAGGTGGTCATTTGTTCAAGATCTGTTTGACATTCGGTACGGCATTGTCACTTTTTTTTTTGAAACTACCAAACAATGCAGAGGGGGGTATTTTCCATGACCCATGGCCCTTTGAAGGCTCTGTACATGGTCAAACTCCAGGAATTAGTTTGAGCCCCTGTGTGTGTAGAAACTCAATTTGAACATCTGATGTGGGGGGATGAGCATAGATGTAAACTTCGTCAAGCAACTCTACATGCTGAATTTGCTAGAATGTGTTTGAACGACTGGATGTTCTACAGTTTACGACACAGGCAACCCTCGCATGTTTAGACATCACTAGGCCTTAAGTGGTGAAAGTACTCCCTCGGGGGCCAAGAAGACTGAGATTGTTGAGAATTGTTTCTTCTGGAGACCATGCGTGGCGACTGTACCCTTTGGGATAACTATTGCTCGTATTCATTACACCCCATTTTGAGCATGCGCAAGCGACTTCCCACCAAAGGCTCTCATGGTCCTGTTGAGGTCTTTAATTTGTTCATGCATCACTCCAAGCGTGTGAGTCACTGGTACCCAGGATGTATTTTGTGCAAAGGTTACCACAGAAAGTCGTCCACTGGTGGATAAATGGTAGATGCTCAAACTAGCCCTTGATGGCTTCTTGTTTATTCAGTGCTGTCATTCTAGGATTGGTCCATATTACTTTCTTCTTCTCTGGGTATCTGGACGGAAATGTTGTGGCTGAATAGATGAGATTCACAATACAGTGCACCACCAAGAGGTTGCCCCGGATAGGCCATTTTCAAGTTTACGGTCAACAAAAGCGTGACTGTCTCACTACAGTTTGCTTTTGAGCATCTCAGTAGACAACTGGGGGAAATGTTTGATAGATTGGGACATTTCAATGTAATAGAAGAAAGGAGTGGTCAAAACTGGTACTTAAAAGTACACCTAAGAATCTTCCCCATCGAAATGAATTCAAGTTCTCCTCATGCAACCGGCGAGAAGAATTTGTTGGCCTTTTCCCACTGTACACTGAAAAAAAGACCTCTTCGTGGTGCATTGTGTAGAAAAAGTGACAGAAACACAGTGCTTGTGGTGCGCACTGAACCAAAGAAGCAGAGATTAAAAAGTAATGCACGACACCACA